TAGTTTTATTTAAGAAAGGACATGTATCGCTGAAGTTCCTCGGGAAGAATTTCTACGAAAAATTAACAAACGAACACAGAGACGTAACAAATTGGTGTCAAGAGTGGGACTGAAAAAAAAAGAGAAGAAAAAGATGGAAACGAGAAGTGGCAAATCAAACTACAGCTTAGCAGATTTGATGTCAGCAGTACAAGAACAGCGAAAGAAACAAGAACAACGAGAAAATAAACAAGAAGAACGAGAAAAGAAACAAGAAGAGAGATTACAGCAGTTGTTGGAGGAAAAAGAAAAAAACAAGAAGAACGAGAAAAGAAACAATAAGAGAGACAACAACAGTGGCAACTGGAACAAGAAGTACAAATGGAAAACATTAGTAAATTTCAAAGCGAATTAAATACATTAAAGGATGATTTATTGTCTTTTACACAAGGAGGATACATTAACCATTGACTTAATTAGCCCCAGACAATGGCAAGCCCCTTCCAGACCCCGCAGCTAAGCCTTAATGTAGACATCTTCAGTCCTGTCAGAAGTCACATCCCAGATATGAATGTCAGTAATAGGGATGATCTAGTATGAAGGAAGCCACAGGAATTTGATGGGAAGGCACCGTGGGAACATAAAGATCACAATTTGAGCTCCTGGCAAAGATGAATGGATGGACAGAGGAGCAGAAAGCAGTATATCTGGCAACGAGCCTGAAGGGACAACCACTGGAAATACTTGGACAGTTGTCAGTGAATGACAGGCGTAACTATAGAGCTCTAGTAGCTGCTCTAGAGCTCAGGTATGGAAATAAAAATCAGTCCGAAATCTACAGGGCCAGGTTTAGGACTAGTGTCAGTGCTAAAGGGGAGAGCCTGCAAGAGCTGGCACAGGACTTGGAAAGTATGGCACACAAGGCCTACCCAACTGCACCACCCAATCTCCTCAAGTTGTTGCTGAGGGATCAGTTTGTAGATGCCTTGGACAGTCCACAACTAAAGATACAAGTAAAGCAAGCACACCCCTCTAATATGCAGGATGCAATGGCCAGAGCTCTTGAATTTGAATCCTACGTTAAGTCCAGCACAGAGGTATCAAGGTTGGTACAGTCATCAAGATTCAAGGCCAGAAAAGGGCAGCTTTCAGAGAGGTTTGAGGGACTTTGCTGGCACTGTAACAAACCTGGGCACAAGAAAGCTCAATGCTGGAAACTTCAACACAGGGAAGATGCCACGGCAGGAAAGGCAGCTACCCAAAAAGCCTGTTGGAACTGTGGAGAGAAAGGACATATGAGGAGCCAGTGTAAGAAGAAGACCAAAGATAAGTCAGCCTTAAGGAAACCAGTAGTGGTTCATGTTGATGGATGCCTACCAACCCCAGTTGCGAAAGTCCCAACATTTAAGTGTAAAATGCCAAGCACACATAGTGTCTAAGTGACAGGAAAGGTGGATGGCCAAAGGTACAACTTTGTCATAGATTCTGCATCTCAGCAAACCCTTGTGAGTATCAAGATGCTAGATCAAAAAGGAGTACCAGAAATCATATAGAAGCTCTGTGGTGTGACAGGACATTCTGCAAGGTTGAGGGGACCAGTGTGGGTAACTATTGAGCTCATAGACATGAAGGACAAATAGAAAGTATACTTGGCTGACATTGAAGACCAATGCATATTAGGCTTGGACTACTTACTACCGAGGAAGTTTGTAATTAATTTTGATAAAATGACGTTTGGGAACAACAAAGGCCAAATTGCAGTAAGTGTTAAAAGAGAGGTTGAATTAACCAGGTGTCATCAAGCTGAAGTCAAGATGACTGAAAGAGCTGATGATGGTGAAGTGGAACCAGGTATAGATATTAAAGCAGAGAAGGAGAAATACCAAGATTTGTAGCCAATAATTGATTTTCA